TGGCTAAGCTAGAGGCCATGGTTCCTTTCTTTTTCTTTCTCTTTCCCTGTCCCTCCCTCCCTCCCTGCCTCCCCCACTCTCCACTCTTCTTCCTTTCTTTATTCTTTTCCTCTTTCCTTCCCCTCTTTTACCCTTTGTTCACGTGAGGAAAGCTCCAGGTGCACTCCATAGTGCTGCGCCTGCTGTATCATGCTGGCCTTGATCCGAGACCCTGTCTCAGCTGGGCCAGCTGCTCTAACAAAATGCTACAGAAAGGGAGACTTCACGGAAATTTACCCAAGTCTTTGGGGGAAAGGAGACCAGTGTGGGCAACACAGCATGACCCTGTCTCTGCGCGTGCATGCACACACACAGACACACACACACACACACACAAAATTAGCCAGGCATGGTGGCATGTACCTATTGTCCCAGCTACTTGGGATGCTGAGATAGGAGGACTTCTTGAACCCAGAAGTTCAAGGCTGCAGTGAGCTATGAATCACACCACTGCACTTCAGCCAGGGCAACAGAGCATGACCCTGTCTCTTAAAAAAAGAAGAAGGCATTTAATACAAATTGCACATTACAGTCATGCAACACATACATTTTGTATGGTTATTTTCCCCCAAATAATGCTGATTATCCGAGGCTGGAAGTTCGAGATCAGGTTGTCAGCAGGGTTGGGTTTTGTGAGGTTACTCTTACTGGTTTGCACCCAGACACTTTCTCACTGTGTCCTCACGAGAGGCAGTGTAGGTGCTAGAAAGTGATATCCTAAGGCCGGGCGTGGTGGCTCACGCCTGTAATCCAAGCACTTTGGAAGCCAAGGTGGGTGGATTACCTGAGGTTGGGAGTTCAAGACCAGCCTGACCAACACGGTGAAACCCCGTCTTTAAAAAAAAAGAAATTAAAAAAAAAGAAAGTGGTATCCTAAAATGAAGACCTCCTGCCTTCCTGAGTCCCATTCTCCCCTAGGCTGGCCATAGAAACTAAAATCTGTCTTCCCCAAAGCAGGTCATAAAAACCACAACCCCTTTTCCCCAAAGCCAGCCACAAATCCTAAAAATATTACTGTAACTCCTGCCTTTCCATGCAAATGCCGACCATAAATTCTCTGGCTTATCTTGTCTGGTTGTAGGTCCTAAGACTCATTCCAAAGAGGGTCCTGTCTCATACCCAAGAGGAAGGACTGCAGTGCAGGGAGGCCAAGCAGAATGCAGACATGCGGGCCTGCTGGGGGTCACCACCCAGTGGATTAGAGTAGCTCCTGACAGATTCTGTTTCTCCACAGCAGTCCAGATTTTGCTGAACCTGAGCATTAAACTAGACAGCTTCCTCTGTATTCATTCTGAAGACTCTTGTATCACATAAAGCTATGATCAAATACATTTGTATGCCTTTTCTCTTTTAATCTGCCTTTTGTCAGTTGATTTTTAGTGAACCTTCAGAGGGTGATGAAAAAGTTTTCCCTTGGGACCTGCAGCAGAGAGAAAGAGAAAAGCAGGCTGTCTTTTGTCTCTTCTTATAAGGACATGAGGCCTACCATGCAACTCCACCCTCAGGACCTACTCATCCCACAAAGGCCCCACCTTCTAACACCGTCACCCTGGGGATGCGGTTTTCAGCCTAGGAAGTGGAGGGAATACAGACATTGAGTCCCTAGCAGTCACCCACGAGAACCTAGGCTGATTTCCTAACACCACCAAGCAGCTGCCATATGGTGGGGAGAGCGAATCCTCAATCTTAGCACTTGAAAGACATATTCTTACCCAAAGTCCTTAGGATGACCACCTCCTGTCCCACTCCAAGTTTTGATTCAAACCTTCCCACATCAGTAGGAAGCCGGGAAGCCTTAGCAAGAACCCATGGGAAGACCAGCTTCTCACTGGGCTGGCAGGACCAGGGCAAGCAGTGCCATATACGGATATATATTAACGTGTGTTAAAGTATGGCGAGGAAGACTTCGTTCAGGGCCATGGAGGAGAAGAAGGACCACCACAGTGGGATTCCACCACAGGGCAGAGAGACTGGGCTCAACTCTGAGTACCACCCTGGCAAGTGGAAGTTTATAGACAGGAGTAGGGTGGATCAGTGGCTAGAACAGTATTGAGAGGACACATCAGGGCTGGGCGCGGTGGCTCCCGCCTGTAATCCCAACACTTTGGAAGGCTGAGGTGGGTGGATCACTTGAGGTCAGCAGTTTGAGACCAGCCTGGCCAACATGGCAAAACCCTGTCTCTACTAAGAATACAAAAATTAGCCTGGCATTTTTACGCATGCCTGTAATCCCAGCTACTCAGGAGGAAAATCACTTGAACCCAGGAGGCGGAGTTTGTAATGAACTGAGATTGTGCCACTCTGGCGGCAGAGTGAAAGTCCATCTCAAAAAAAAAAAAAAAAAAAAAAAAAAAAAAAAAAAAAAAAAAAAAAAAGAGGCGACATCAGGGGTGAGGGGGATTCTGGCTAAACCCACCTCACAGGGCTCTTGCTGCACGCAGGGTGATCAGACATCACCTGGGGGTGGAGGAGGATGAGGAACCCCAACAGATATCACAGAGGACAATCAGATATTGAGAATCAGGGGTTCTGGTGAAACTGACTTAGTGGGACTTTCCTAAAACTGTATTTCCTTTCCTCCCTCCCTCCCTTCCTTCCTTCTTTCCTCTCTTTCTTTCTTCCTTTCTTTTCTTTCTTTTTCTTTTTCTTTCTCTCTCTCTCTCTCTCTCTCTCTTCTTTCTTTCTTTCAACAGACTCCTGCTCTGCCATCAGGCTGGAGTGCAGTAAGGCGATCTCAGCTCTCTGCAACCCCCGACTCCCCAGTTCAAGTGATTCTCCTGTCTCTGCCTCCCCAGTAGCTGGGACTACAGGCGCACACCACCACACCCAGCTAATTTTTGTAGTTTTAGTAGAGATGGGGTTTCACCATGTTGGCCAGGATGGTCTCCACCTCTTTTTTTTTTTTTTTTGAGACGGAGTTTCCCTCTTGTTACCCAGGCTGGAGTGCAGTGGCGCGATCTCGGCTCACCGCAACCTCCGCCTCCTGGGTTCAGGCAATTCTCCTGCCTCAGCCTCCTGAGTAGCTGGGATTACAGGCACGCGCCACCATGCCCAGCTAATTTTTGTATTTTTAGTAGAGACGGGGTTTCACCGTGTTGACCAGGATGGTCTCGAGCTCTTGACCTCGTGATCCACCCTCCTCGGTCTCCCAAAGTGCTGGGATTACAGGCGTGAGCCACCGCGCCCGGCTGGTCTCCACCTCTTGATCTCATGATCCGCCAGCCTCGGCCTCCCAAAGTGTTGGGATTACAGGTGTGAGCCACTGTGCCCGGCCCTAAAACTGGATTTCACAAGAAAGTGCACAGATGGACCTAGGAGAAGGTTCTGGAGCCTGACCAGAGTTTGGCCAAGCAGAGAAGTTTTGTCAAAGGGCTGTTTGAGAACAAAATTGAATTAAGTACTTATTAAGTGGTTACCTAGTCAGCTCCTAGTGAGCACTCTAGAAATGCTTGTTAAATCTACCATGTATTTTAAAAGGAAACAGATAAAGTGCCAATGCTGGGTATGCCCAAAGTCACTCCTGGAACCCACAGTCTCAAGATGCCCAGACCTCAGAGGACAGACTTGAATGTGGAGGGAGGGCACTGCCTCAGCTCACAGGCTTTTCAAGGAGACAAGTACTGGCTGGGCCCCTGCTGAGCCCACACTCTGTGCCCTGGAGACTCAGACCTGAAAGCCACATCCTTCCCTGTGAATTAAGCTTAGACAGCATGCTGGTGGGAGACAGGTTCGTGCTACATAATTATGTGATGGATTTGCCCGGGTCAGAGCAAGCTCTGCTGAGGTAACCCAAGCTGCTTATGGCTGGATCAGTCCTAAGAAGGAAAGACACTAACTGGAATTAAGCACAAAATAGATGCTGGGCACCCTGCCTGCTGCTTCACACTCATTAAAGCTCAGCAACGCTATCAGGTAGGCACTGACAGCCCCATTTCACAGATGAGTGTATGGAGGTGTGGAGAGGTAAATTATCGCCCCAGCTACGGCAGATGACCAGGGCTTCTCAAATTGCAAAGTGCACACAACTCGTTTTAAAATGCAAATTCTGACTCGGTCCGATTTGAGTGGGACTGAGATTCTGCTTTTTTAACCAGCTCTTCAGTCGAAGCTGAAATACACAACATCTTACATTTCTTCATTGGAAGTGACTGTAACTCCCAATGCGTTAATATAACACAGTGTCGGAGACAGGGCCGTCAGGAAGCTACCGCAGTACCCAGCTCTCAGGGATACTGCGAGACAAATGAGATCACCCTTCGGATTACGGCTGTCACTTCAAACGGGCTTGGAGGGATCTTAACAAGAGGAAGGACCAGGTTTCATTTGAAACCCTTCAATATCTTTCTCCAGTTAAAAATCTGCCCCGTGACTACGATTCCAACTGACGTACCCTTAGCATGTTTTCTATACTATTTTCCGTATTTCCTAAAGAGGCGTTTGGATTTACAATGGAATTCTGAGAGGAATGCATCTCTTTGATCTTTGGACTGTGGGGAAGGTAAAGAAATAAACGGTTAAGGTCGTTGCAAAATCCCGTTCCCACCCCCATCTCCCCTTCTAAATAAGCACTGAACTCTCTAGCTGTGGGCCTCAGAATAAAATGCCCTCACGTGTGTGCCTCACAGCCAGATAAGACCGAGATTTGGGGTTACAACCGCTTTTCAGCTCCTTTTTAGCTACGTCCAGATCCGCTGCGGACACAAACACCTCCAGGTGTAAAACAAAGACTTTGAACAAAGATGCGCAACCTCAGCTCCGGCGGGCGGCGGCTGTGCCTTGCGATTGGTTGCACCCCCGTCCAATAGGAAAAAAGAACCGGCCTCTCCTATTTACATAAATTCCTCCCAGTGGCGGCTGTGCCGTCAGGCCGTCCAATCAGACTCTACAGATTTGGAGCCTTCATTTGAATACACAGATGGCAAATAGCCCTGCCCGCCCAGCGTCCGCGATCGTCTAGGCGCTCTCGCCACCTCGCCATGCCGGAGCCATCGCGGGCGGCTCCGGCTCCAAAAAAGGGCTCCAAGAAGGCCATCACCAAGGCGCAGAAGAAGGACGGCAAGAAGCGCAAGCGCGGCCGCAAGGAGAGCTACTCCATCTACGTCTACAAGGTGCTGAAGCAGGTGCATCCCGACACCGGCATCTCGTCCAAGGCCATGGGCATCATGAACTCCTTCGTCAATGACATCTTCGAGCGGATCGCCAGCGAGGCCTCCCGCCTGGCGCACTACAACAAGCGCTCCACCATCACGTCTCGCGAGGTGCAGACGGCCGTGCGCCTGCTGCTGCCCGGTGAGCTGGCAAAGCACGCCGTGTCCGAGGGCACGAAGGCCGTCACCAAGTACACCAGCTCCAAGTGAGGCGCGCCCCGGCGCCCCGAACCCAAAGGCTCTTTTCAGAGCCACCTCCAAGCTCAAAAAGGAGCGTGGTGGCTCAAGCCTGTAATCCCAGCACTGTGGGAGGCCGAGGCGGGTGGATCACGAGGTCAAGAGATCGAGACCATCCTGGTCAACATGGTGAAACCCCGCCTCTACTAAAAATACAAAAAATTAGCTGGGCATGGTGGCGCGTGCCTGTAATCTCAGC